ATGATCTCCCCAAGTTGCTCCGGTGCATATTTCAAGGGGTGATGGCTTTAAATAAATAATCAAGCAGAATAGGATAAGATTAAGGAATTAATTAGATACAGACCCAAGTTGCATAAAATAAAACTGTGACTCATTTTTTTTATTAAATAGTGAAAAGTATTCAATTAACTTACATGTATTTCAATTAATTTTTTTTTTGGTCTAGTCAAAAATAGAACATCTACGTCAGAATTGAGATATTCACAAAGAAATCAAAATATTTAAATTTACAGTTCATCTCTATTATCATTTGAACTACTTCGATTGTAACTCGTGTTTCAAATTATCGTAGTTTTGCCCTTGAAGTTCTTGACCAGAAAGATAAATTATAAAATGGGTACCTTTTCATATATAAAGCTCCTCGATGGCATCACCCAGGCTAGAAATAATAAGGATTCGGTGAAATTAACCACTTAGTGACAAAATCACCATGAGAGAACATCGTGCCCACTGACAAATTTGCTGAATAATCCTCTTACTAACTTTGTATTAGCATCTGGCCGCCTTGAACTCTTATGGAGAGATAAGTTGAGTAAGAGCCCACTATTCTATACTTGACGATTTCAAATTTAGATTATATAATATTATTTGTTTTAGATTGGATTTGTAAGATTTTAAAAATTAAAACTCATTATACAATGACGATTTACAACAAAACATTTGACACACTCATCATCAAATAATGTGCCACACCAGCTTCGGTGTGAACGAGACTGTCTTTGATCGGATCGAGAAGGGTTATTAGTTAAAGTGTGTTTAAATTGGTCCAAACATTTTGATCGTTGAAAACAAGTAAAAAATTCCAATGTACTTACCTCCCAATTAAAGGATAACAATATTAGTAATCATAATTAAGCCCAAGAAGATTTGTGTGACCCGGAAACATTTTTCTTTTTAACCTAAAAGTATTTAAACTTTCTTATCCACGTGGGCTTTTGTACTTCTTTAACTTCGTCAACTTTGGGAACCCTGCAGGCTGCTGAGAAATGTCTAAGGCAAAACCTTATATAAACACAAGTCCATTACTTCATTGATGACACCATAAAAAAATTTACATGGCAATGGCTTCTCTTCCATATCCAACCACGGCCACAGCCAATGGCCGCTCTTCGTCCTCCACCACCACCCCTCATTCCACCTTGCTTTCCTCTCCTTTCTTGGCCAAGACATCAAGATTTTCCGTACATACAAAGCGTAACTATCGCTTCAAAACTTCAATCAAAGCCATTGATGGTGAGAGAAACCCTACTCCAATCTCTAAGAATGGTGAAACTCCTATCGGAAAGTTTGATAGGAGAAATGTGCTTATTGGGTTAGGAGGGCTCTACGGTGCTGCTAGTCTCAGTTCTGACCCATTAGCCTTTGCAGCACCAGTGTCAGCTCCGGACCTTACAAAATGTGGTGCCGCAGACTTGCCGGCCGGAGCAAAACCCACCAATTGTTGCCCTCCTCCGGCGACAAAGATAGTCGACTTCAAGCTTCCGCCGGTGAACGCCATGCGTGTCAGACCGGCTGCTCATTTGGCCGACGCTGAATACAAAGCTAAATTTAACAGAGCCATTCAACTCATGAAGGCTCTTCCTGACGATGATCCTCGGAGCTTCAAGCAACAAGCCAATGTTCATTGTGCTTATTGCGATGGAGCTTACGATCAAGTTGGGTTTCCAGATCTTGAGCTTCAAGTTCACAGCTCATGGCTGTTCTTTCCATTTCATCGGTACTATCTCTACTTCTTTGAGAGAATCTTAGGAAAATTGATCGATGACCCAACTTTCACAATGCCATTTTGGAACTGGGATGCTCCCAGCGGCATGCAGTTGCCGGCGATGTATGCCGACAAGAACTCACCACTCTACGACAGTCTTCGTGACGGGAAACACCAACCTCCGACTATGATTGATCTGGATTACAACGGTTCTGATCCAAATATAAGCAATGCACAACAACAGTCACAAAATCTCACTATCATGTATCGTCAAATGGTTTCTAATACAAGGAGTGGTCGGCTTTTCTTTGGAAGTCCTTACCGTGCCGGCGATGAGCCAAATCCCGGTGCTGGCTCCGTCGAGAACATCCCTCATGGCCCAGTCCATATCTGGACCGGTGATCGAACCCAACCTAATATAGAGGACATGGGTAACTTCTACTCAGCTGCTCGAGACCCTATATTCTATGCTCATCACTCGAACATTGATCGAATGTGGACTATATGGAAAACCCTAGGAGGAAAAAGACAGGACTTGACCGACCCAGATTGGTTAAACGCTTCGTTCGTCTTCTACGACGAGAACGCCAATCTGGTTCGTGTTCAGGTTAAAGACTGTCTTGATACCACAAAGCTCGGATATACCTACCAGAATGTGGACATTCCATGGCTGAACTCTCGTCCAACACCACGTTTAGCGAGGGTTGTGAGGAAGATAAAGAATCTCGGATTGGCCAAAGCCGCCGACACTTACATGGCCGACGATGTTTTTCCGGCGACCCTTGACAAAGTATTGAAAGTAATGGTCAAGAGGCCGAAGAAATCGAGGAGTAAGAAAGAGAAAGACGAAGAGGAGGAGATACTGGTGATAGAGATAGAGGTGGACAGAGACTTGTTTGCGAAGTTTGATGTGTTTGTGAACGATGAAGATGAGGCGACTAGCGGACCGGACAAGAGTGAGTTTGCAGGGAGCTTTGTGAATGTGCCTCATAAGCATAAACATTTGCATTTACATAAGCATGGGAAGAAGATAAAGACTCGTCTGAGGTTAGGGTTAACAGAGCTGTTGGAAGACTTGGGTGCTGAAGATGATGAGGGAATTATGGTGACCTTGGTGCCAAGAAATGAGTGCAATGGTGTCACTATTGGTGGTATCAAGATTGAGCTCGATGATTGAATAAAGTATTCATCAGAAAAAGTGTCAAATTTCTTGGAGAATTAGGGTTTTTTAATCAGGATTTGGAAAGAGTTTAGATTTATCACGATTATTAACTCGAGTTCGATGACGTGCCGGCATGCTGTTGTTCTTTTTATTATCTATTTCCCTTTTCTTTGTCTCCCAATCTTTTGACCATGGGCATATATGCGTATGATCGAAGTTTTGTTGGACAAATGGCAAATAAAGGCTTTAGCTCATTTTAATCCTGTGTTGCACACGCGAGTTATTTCTGTTATCTGAGCAAAATAAAGAATGGTCCTCAAGTAGTAATCTTGATATCATTTTAGTGCTTGTTCTTTTAGTTTTGGCATTTTAATCCCTCAAAATTTTCATTTATTTTATTTTATTTTTTCCGTAATTAACAAACAAAAATGGTCACAAATGTGTCATGAGGAGTATTTTCGAATCTTGGTAACATCTTAAAATCAGGTTATGAGAGAATTATTTCTCATAAATACCTTAATTACGATATAGGTGAGCTACCTTTAATCAAATTGGGAAGGAGAATAGTCGAGATACGTGTTAAACTTATCCAAATAACTCTGACCATTAAACCAAAAATAAAAAATAAAAAATTGAGTGATGAAAATGATCTAATTCAAATAATAAAGAACATAGCGATAAAAATAAAAAACTTGAAAAAAAAGAAGATAAATATGACACGTTGAGAACTTAAGAGACCAAAGTGAGACCCTTAGGAGAGGCCACGTGAGACGCGGGTAAATACTTTATCTAGTTAATTTAATGAACATCGTTACATGAATTTAAAAAGTAAATTTGATATTTACAATCATTGATTGTACTGTAGGTCCTAGTATTTATAAGGACTCACTATCTATTCAATGATTATAATTATTAAGCTTATTTTTTAAGTTCATATAACACTACTCTAATTTAAAATAACATTTTTGATTGGATCAAATGAAACATATTGAAAATCTTTCAGAATAACTGATATTAGAGATGAGTTGTAAAATCAGACGTTCTAAATTTGAATATTGACAACCTTTTAGGGTTAGGTTATCTGGGATAAATCTCTCATGAAAATTCTAGTCTTGACGTGAATGATCTACCTTTAATCAAATCAGAGAAGAGATTAGTCGAAATGAGTATAAACTGATACAAATACCCTTGACCGTTAACTAAAAAAAAAAAAAAATTGCAGGACACTTGTGATAAAACCAAAAGATTGAGTAGTAAATTGATGCAAGACACAGACTATAATGGCCATTATTTTATTATGTTGATTTTATTTGTTTATTTATAGTTCATTGATTTTGGTCATGGTAGATTGCAACCTCGATGACTCAATCTAGAGATATTTCCTGGAATGCTCAACTCACGCATTTTATGGCAAAAGTCGTTTTAATATATAATAGATTTAGGTAATTCATGTGCAATGAACATGCTATCCCATGAAAAATGGCTGGACAGCACTGGCCTTTCTTCTTTGAAATAGAGCACATAGTAAGTCTATTACACTTTTTTGAATTATTTTATAATTAAAAAATTAATTTATCTAAAAAAACATGTCTATTACTATTTTCCTTTGGAATTAATTTTTTTTTTTGCTTGTGGATTTATGTTTGAACCATGTAATATTTTTCTTAAAATTTATTTCTTTAATCTTTATTTAAAATTTTCAGCTACAAACTAATTTGGTAGAGAGAAAACCGTACAATTTTTCTTTCTGTGTATGCATTATATTGTTAAATTAATTATGTTTACTAAGTCTTAGGATTAATGTGAAGATGCCAATGGATATTCTTCAGCCATATAGCGTGCCAGTGCCTGTGTTTGAATCTTAATCAATATTTATTTATTATGTTGTAATATTTACATAACTATGGGGTATCTAATAGTAATTTATGGTTGGGAAATAAATTTTTAATTTAACAAGTCTAAGTTAATTATAAGTGCAGTGGTTGTCTCCATCTTATCACATAGCCGACCATATACACAAGAATCAACTTTATTTATATACATACCTGTTACCTAAGGTCAATCTCCATCTCAAAAATACTTTTTCAGAAGACAATTAGTTTCAGAAAAGAAAGGTTTGTGAGGAAGATAAAGAAAGCTTGGAATGGCCAACGTAGCCGGAACTTCCATGATCGACGACGTTTTTCCGGCGACCCTAGACAAAGTACTGAAATTAATGATCAAGAGGCCGAAGAATTCGAGGAGTAAGAGAGAGAAAGAGGAAGAAGAAGAGATACTGGTGACAGAGATAGAGGTGGAGAGAGATGTGTTTGCCAAGTTTGATGTGTTTGTGAACGATGAAGATGAGGCGATGAGTGGACCCGACAAGACTGAGTTTGCAGGGAGCTTTGTGCATATGCCCCATAAGCATAACCATGGGAAGAAGATAAAGACAAATCTGAGGTTAGGGATAACTGAGCTTTTGGAGGGTTTGGGTGCTGAAGATGATGAGAGAGTTCTGGTGACTTTGGTGCCAAGAAATGGGTGTAACAGTGTTACCATTGGTGGTATCAAGATTGAGCTCCATGATTGAATGGAGTTTTTTAATGAAAAGAAGTGTCAAATTTCTTGGAGAATAAATTATCTTTAGGGTTTGGAGTTTCATTGTAGTGTGACGGTTGTTTATTTTTCCTTTCTTTTCGTTTTCTTTGTCTCTCAATCGTTTTGATTATCAAATATAAGCTTTGCGTTATTTATATATAGGGTTTGGAATTTTATGTTTAGGGTAAAATAAAGTAATGATGCTCAAATGTATATTAGCTTTGGACAATGATCAAAATTTTATTTTGAAATAATCAAAATGTTCGAAATATTTTCATTTTCAAGGAAACTAAAATGAATCACAGATGAAATCAAAATTCTATTACTTCGAGGTGTTCTATAATATTTTAAAGATGTTTTATAATATTTAAATGTATTTGTACAATTGTTTTAGAAAATATTTTGATATATTTCGACCAATATTTTGAGAAAATAATTCTTAAATTTTATTTTTTTCCCTCCTAAACATGAAAAAATATTTCTGTTTTCTAGGTAATCGAAACAATGTACCGAAATAAAATTTTGATATTTGACTTTGGACTATTTTGATTTTGTTTTAGTCCTTTAAAATTTCAATTTGCACCAATTTTCTCCATTCAAAAATGAAGGTTTTGACTAACTAAAGTCGTCCTATGTGTCACACATGACCAAATCTTGAAAGATATCTTCTTTTTTTTTGGATCAAATAAAAATAAAAGGTTTCATAAACTAAAATGACACAACCAATACGATAAGGGAATAATATTTTATTGTTCTTGATGTTATTATGAATATTTTAACAGGACGGCAGCTCCATCAACCCATTATTTATATATAGATACTATTTGTTTATTTATTTATAATTAAATTATTTTGGACATGATGACCAAAACTCGTACTAAGATAATAGACTTAATTAGAACTAAGTGTATACTTTCATGTGCAATGAACATGGTATCCCATTCTATTCACAAAAAAAAAAAAAAAAAAGAACATGGTATCCCATGAAAAAAGGATGGCCAGTACTGGCATTTCTTCTTTGGGTGATCACTCTTCCCCAGTCAAAATTAGAGAAAAAGATAACATAACAGTTGGTTAGACTTTATCCAATAATTTTTTTAAGTGAAAAAATTAGTTCATCAAAAAAAAAAAAAAAAGCTAATTTGATTCGTATTTACCAAAAGTTATAATCTATGATCATTGTCGTGTCCATTCATCTTGGAGAAAGGAGAAAACCCTAAAATAAAAATGAAGAGAGGACACAATAAGGGTTGCTCGTCCTATCGCGATCATTTCTCCGTTTGAGATAAATAATAAAGATAACAGGTTAAGCGAGGAGCCCTAAACGAAAAAGGGTTCACACTACATCTATTTTTGTGCTTGTACCATAGTGGTCATTTCACATAATTGCTTATGAAGTACAAAAAAAAATACAAAAAATATTAGGAAAACATTATGAAAAAGTACTTAAAAGTAATTTGTAGCTAATGAGAGGGGGATGCATTGAAATTTCCTTTAATACTGCAGCCATAAGTTCAGCCCTCCACTTTTGAAGACGACGGCAAGTTCACCAAAACCCTAACAACCCTTTGAATTTGATCTCTCTCTCTCAACACCGTCTTTATATTACAAGTGATTGTCCAAGGTTTAGCTAAAAAAATTGTACTTTGTACTACAGGACTTTGTAGTACAAAATTTTCAATGTTTTTTCTTTTTGGGTAAGTAAAAATTTTATATGTTATGTATGCATCATGTCTTTATTTTTATAATTAATCACGGCCACACTTTTCTCCATTATATCATAATGTCTATAAAGTAATGCAAAGTCATTCCATAGTTGATTAATAATTGAAGAAGATTGATGACAGGCAATACAAAAATGGTAAATGAGATAAACTGATTAGAAAAATATAACAGTAACACATAACACATATGAGTTAATTATAACTGTAGTGGTTTCCACACAATAATCGGCCATTTCTTTTCTGTTGTTCACACCAATCCATTATCTCACATTCTCTCTAGATAGCCGACCACACAAAAATAAAATAATTAACATGTAGTCCATCGGAAAAAAAAAAACTTTTTCAATCACATTCCCCCCCCCCCCCCCCCAACACACACACACACACACTAATCCATATGTATAAATAATAATTTGGAAATTACATTACTATTATCACACCACTCGGTCGTGGCCTTCTCCTACTAAGGACCTACCTCACACCACTCGGCCGTAGCTCCACTAAGCAAACATAAAGAGGTTTGTCCATTCCACTCAGCTAGTAAGGACTAGGACATTTTCAACTAACAAGAGACTTGGGCAAGTTTATCCTTGTCCATGCCCGGCACCCAAGGTAATTAAAGATGAGTCATACTCAATAAGGATCAACCAAGGAGTTAGAGTCTAAGTGAAATACTACTCCGAGTAACAAGGGGTTAGCGAAGAGGACCGAGGACCAAGAGTCCTAGGCTAATTCAACCCCAAATTTCTAAAACTTGGTGAGGAGGTCAAGCTAATCACCCAAAAGCTTGGGTTCTAGTTGGATTCATCTCCTTACTACTATAAATAAAGGCCCCGGGTATTAGATAAGATATTCAATTCTAGCCTATTTATTTTATATTTTTTTTCAACTCACTTGCTAACTTGAGTCTTTTTGACTGCCTGCGATCATCAGCTCATCTTAGTTCTATCTTGTCTTGCTAGTTCACTAGGACTTCTCCGCCCATCCTCTATGTCTCTACGATGTGGTGACCTTTTACATGGATTTATCCCTGCACAAGTGGTGTTGGGGCAAGTGATAATGACAACCACCTTGGGATGAAAAGGGGGAGCTAGAATACAATGGGATTGTAGGCTTGAGCTTGAACGGGTCAGAAAAAGACAATGTGGCAGACAAAGTTGGGAAGATTGGTGTTTCAATAAATGGGGTGATTGTGACAATTGGAGAACTTGATGTCAATGATGGGTAAGGTTTAAATAGATACGAATATAAAAATAGATATAAATATAAGTACGATCGGATACGAATACAATGATACAATAAAACTTAAAAAAAAAGATACGGATATGATTAAGATAAGTTTATAATAAAATTTATTATATATTTAATCATTATTGAACAACTTAAAAATTATAATTTTTAATAATTCTTTAATAATAGTAAATATAATTCCCAATTTTTACCCTGAAAAATATATAATATCGTCTTATTATAATATATCGACAAAATAAACATGACCAATTAAAAGAATTCGAACCCACATTTAATTAGTTGGTTTGCTTATAAATATTTGTTTCAAATGTTATAGTGTAACTAATTTTTTTATACTCTTTTAGCATTTTATTATAGATAATACTTAAAAAAATACTCGCGTTTTCAAAGTTAAATCGAATTTTGTTAATATTTTGTATTATATGTAAACTCTAAAGAAAATTTTATAGATTAAAATTAAAAATTATACATCTGGCTTCATGTGTAGAAATATTTGTGAAGTATTTATATATTTTATTAATTATCGATTATGCATGATGCATATCTCATATGTATCATTGAGTATCCGACGAGTATCGTATCCAATAGAATTATATCAATTTAGACAAAATATTCGTATTTCATAGCTGAAATTCAATCCAGAACAAATCGTTAATCTCGAATTGTTTAGTTATAGAATATAAGACTATTTTTTTTTTTTATTTCCTGCACTTGTCAGAAGTGATGGCCATTGCAGTCATGGAGACGGTGGCAGTGATAGTGGCGTTGGCGGCAACAGAAGTGGAAATGGAAATGGAAAGGGAAAGGGTGACAACGATAAACAGTGAAAATGGAAAGGGGGATTTTGAGGGAAGAGGTGATTGGGAAGTGTCGGATTAGTGGCAGTAGCGACGCTGGTGATTCATGCACGGACGATCGGAGTTTAACCTTACTATCAGCCTGAGTTGTGTGATTGCTGAATGCTGTGCATGAAATGACAATGGCAGTAGTAGCAAGTGCAATTGTGGTACAAAAAGTGGGAATAGTGGTAGAATTAGCCTTGAAGACCTCGTTTGAGGAAATTTTGTTGCCTCTATTGTTACTACCTTTTACGCTTGTCCCACTACTATGGTTAGCTGCGTACGTAGCACTGGAAGAGGTGGCATTAGGGTTGTTTTACCTAATATTCTTGTTGATAGTTTTACTTAAAGTCACTGTAAATGATTTACTAGGTGAAAATTTGAAAAAAAAAAAAATTTGGAGTAGGGCTGGCCCAATTACTAGACTACTAAAACCTGGGCTTTAGGCCCCATTCAAATGGAAGGCCCTAAATTTCTGTGAGTATCAATAGCAAATGTCAACTCATTTCGACTTCTCTCTCTCTCTCTCACACACACACACATTGTTATGTGACGCACGCCTTTTCTAGTTTGTTAATTTTAATTTTTTCATGATTAGTACACCACATTAATTTAATAAATTATTATTTTTGTGATTCTAAGTTTATCAATTGTTATATTTTTGGAGTAAATCATCAATTAGACATTAAAAGAAAAATACCATATTTGCTTGGTCTCATCAAAAGAAATGGAACTTGAAGGAGAAATCTAATTTATTTTTTGCGACAAGAAAAACATTAAATTCGTCTAGATTGTGGACGATGAAATAAATATAGGAAAATAATTATGATTTTTTATTTTGTTTTGAAATATTAGAAATCTATAAATGACTTAGTTATATTATTTATTAGGAATGATATATGAAAAAAATTGAAATGTCGCAACTTAATTTATATTTTTTCATTTCAAATAGAAAAATAAATTTGAATAAATACAATTTAATATTTATTATTATTATTATTTTATTAAAAATTAATAGGACTTTATTTATAAATTTCGTTTTAGGCCTCTAATTCTATTGGGCCGCCCCTATATTGGAGAGTCCTCATTCTGAAGAAAATCAAACAGGTTTTTGCGGGATTATGAGTTTTATGTATTTGGGCTGCTAGTGAGTTGGATCTTTTCTCGGTTCTTTCTTGTTGGCCCATTTATCATTCGGGTCAGTTATTTTCTTATGATTTATCCATTATATCCATAGGTGTGTGGATGGAGCAAACTCTTTGAATAAAATGACCCGAATGATAGGAACTAAAAGTACTATTAATCTCAAAAGTTATTTGCTTATCGAAAAAATTAAAAAAAAAAGAAAATAAATCCAATTTAGTAGTTACTTCATGCACATGTACAATATTGTTATTGAATAGGGGTATGATGTGTCTTTAATGATGTGGTGTCATCCATTATGTTAAATAATTATCCTTATTCAAAACACGATATTTAGAAACTTCTATTTCATTGGTAGAACTTGAGAAAAAATAAAGGACATCTTAGTAGAGCTGACAATTCTTAATATTATTCACTAATATGAATGATACAATGCTAATGGATAGGAATTTAGTCATAACAAAATTGGATCATAACCATCAAACCCATATAATAAATAAGTTGATACGATTTTATTTTTTTGGGGGGGAAGGGGGAGACCGACCCAAAAATACTTGAGGTTCCAGGCAAAAATTTAGAGGCTCTAATTTTTTTTTTGGATTCATAATTTGTTTATTTTTGTTTTTTTAAATATTTAAATATATATATTTTTAGTAGGTATATTTAAGGTGTAAAATAACTTATAAAATAAACACTTTGTGTAAATAATTATACTAAGATCAAAATTAACACAAAAATTATAATTTAAAAAATAAATTGAATAAATAGATCAGAGTTATTGAAAATTCAAATAAAAGAGAGTAGAGGCTTTTAATTTTTTGTACAAGAATATAATGATTTAAACAAAATATTAATTTTTTTTATCGTTTCACATAACATCCTAAAATTTTTATATTATTTTTAAAATTCAATTATATAATTTTATAAAACATATGTGAATAAGGCCACAGACAATTTTGAGCTAACCGTCGTCTCACTTGCCTAATGTTCCGTTTGGTAGGAATGATGTAAAGTAAGATGATGAAAAGTAAAAAAGATACACTTTTTATCCTTCTAAGAAGAAAAATAGAAATGATACACTTTCTTTCCTTCGTGTTTGGTAGGATAGATGAAAAATAAAAGTGATAAAAAATTTTTTGCTTGGTAAGATGTAGAAAATATATATATTTTTTATTTTTTATCATTGTATTTATATATAAAATTAATGTATACATAATATATGTATATAAAAAAGAATATATATATATATACATATCTATATAATAAATCAGATAAATGTTTGAACTTATAAATGATATATTCCCCCCCCTCCAAATTTCAAATACCTATTACACACTTTTCCTCCCAAATTTCAAAAACTCAACACACACTTGATAATGCAAAATTGCACATACATATATACACACATTACAATGCATACACAGTGTCACAATTCAATAAACAATAATTTTAGTCACGGGATATTGTTAATAGACAAATAAGATATATTTTAACACAAATAATTAAATTTTTATTAATTTTCCTTTCAATTTTAAAGGGATTGATTTTTGTGAGTCAAAAGAAAAGCTCATTTATCAATTTTTTCATCTTTTTTATTTTTTTTAACTAAATATAATATTTTATTTATTATTTTAATTTTTTTTATTTTATTTTTTAATTTTTTTATCGTATCAAACGAATCAAAAGCCGGCCGTCAATTAAGGTGGGGGGAATTATTTTTCCCTGCCATACTGTCAAAGTGCAAAAATGTTCTAACTTAGCTATCAAATAATTGATGAAGTCTTCCCTAAAATTGCGCAACGTACATGAGACAAAAGAAACATAGTAGGACAATGTTTTGAGGCAGACACGTTTGGACAGGCTACCCTTATTACAAACATATCAACCTCACATTGATTTGAGACACCAAACATTGACCGAGGACAACCAACCCATAACATTGGGAGTGAAAAATGCGTTATATTAAATAATTATGTGTCAAATTAAATGAACGATGGATAAAAAATATGTAAATTTATATAAAATTTGTTTAATAAATGGGTAAAAATCTCGACACGAACAGAAACTATCTAATAAATAGGTAACATGATACGATTCGTTTAACTCGTTCAACCCGTTTAATTTTAATTTATTATTAGTTTATTATTATATTTTTGTGATTGTCACTAAATTAAAAAAAAATTGTAATTATCACTAAAAATAATATATATATATATATTTTTGTGACTGTCCCTAAAAAAAAATTTGTCTAATTTTTTAAAATTATTATTAATTTATTATTATATTAATTTTATTTAAACGGATAATAAATGGGTTGACATGACTCATCCAAACACGACCCGTTTATTAAACGTGTCTAACGAGTCAATCAATTTATCACTCGAACCCGTTAAAGTCTTACTCAAACCCGCTTAATTCGTGTCGATTAATCGTGTAGTATTAAACTTTGATGGGCCTACATGACTTATGTAAAAATGAGCTTAACCTATTTTAAACTCAAAAAAATTAGAATAATATCCCAGATTTTTATTTCCAGTTTTTAAGTGCGACTATTGCTATAATTTATTATTGATTGTGTAACATTTAATTTTTTTATTTTCCAAAGCCACAATTCTTTAGAACACAGTTGAGACTTCAAGTAGAATAAGAATTTGGCCGACATTCACGAATTATCCCCGTGCTTGAAATTTTAAATTTATGAATGCATACCAAATTTTCTTGCTAGCTAAAGTCTCGGTGTTTCGAAATATTTAATAGATGTCTTGTTAATATACCAAGTTTAGTAAAGTTGACCATCCAAATTCTCAGAGAAGTCACGGGTCGATTCTTTTTTATGAAAAATATTAATGTTTCTTATCTTTTTTGTGGACTCTATGATGCCATTCTTTTTGTCTAATGCAAAATTTTCAAAGGTTTGAAACTTTAGTTATGACATTATTAATGTTTTTGCACTATATTCTTGAAAGAGGTGACCTCCATCATAAATGAATTCATTATTTCCAAATTTGGCCAATTCAGTCCATTCTCATTCTCATTCTCATTCTAACTAAACTTTATCCAATTAGGCCTACCCCTATTTAATATGTTCTTCATTATCTCGGGGTAAATCCTATTTTAAAAAAAAATCTCAATTTATCCTTTAAATGAAAAAAAAGGTTGTGTTTGGAACAATTTGTTTTAATTAATTTCAAATAAGTTAAAAATACATTTACCATTTAAATAAGTAAGTAAGTAAAAGTAAAAAAAATAATAATTTTTACTTCTTTAAAACCACTTCTCTATAAAACACTTTATTTACACCATCGCTGCTGCCACTCCACTTGCACCACCACCAACAATACCACCACCACCTACCACCACTGTCGCCATCCACCACCGATTGTTACCATCGCCACCCACCACCACTATCGATCACCATCATCATCTTATTTTTTCATTTATTATCACTATTACCATTTGATGAGCTCATATTCAACTGGGCTAGACCCAATAAATTAAATTGACTTAGATTAGCTAAAAGGATCATTCAAGCCCAACTTGTGGCTTTAACCCAATTCATCGATCCAACCCGATCTAGAATTCATAGAGTCCAAGAATATTGAAGCACGTGGGGAGCAATCATCGGGATGCCCACTCTTGAAGATAAAGAAAAACTTTAATTGCATTTACCTTTTTGTAGCTATTCTCCTCGAAGGACTAGTGCATTTACTCTCACGTCACTGCCTCAGCTAAGGCTCTGTGTCTATAAATTGTAAGCTCTCTCTACATAAAAGGGGTGTCTTTCTACACACATATCACATAGTTATTTCTCTCTTCTACCTACCATATCTCTCCTAGAACTCACCTTTGCCCTCTCTCTCTCTCTATACTTTATTAATAAAAGGTTTTTCGACCACCGTTGTCATTTTCGGAGTAGAGTAGGACCCCTTGACCGAACCACTATACATTTGTGTGTTAAACCAGTACTTGTCTTTTACTATTAATTGTTTATTGATTGCCTCATTAATTACCCTAAATCACATACTCGACTGTTAACTGTGTATAAGCTTATTTTGTGCATCATCAGTATGATGTTGTCTATGAGAAATCACTGAGTTTTGTACTACCCTGCTATTCTTTTTCAAATCCATGACAATCACAACCAGGCCGATGAACCAACAATTGGAGGACAACAACCCAATCGCCAAGAGGAGGCCTTGCCTCCACCTACGCCTATAGCAGCGGAACCGTCTACTGCAGCAACTCCTATCCCATGGTTGGACAATTGCTTTTGGAGACCATGCAGTTATTGGTGAGCCAAAACCAACAAATCATCTAGCCTCACCTCGGCGATCAGTACAGCGCCATCATCTTGGGTATCGCCGCTGCCTGACCCGTGCCCATAGTTGGCACCTCCACCTAGGCTCGCAGTCACCTTGCAACTGGATGGTGTTGCCTCACACCTAGATGGCACTGCTTAGTGCCAGCACCGCTGCTTTTGTGTCGCCGTTCCCAGTGCCTGCCAAACGCTCTCCATCTCTTCTACTAGCGTCGCCCAGTAACCCGTTGGCGCCGCCGGCTGGCCTTCTCGCATGATCTGCTAAGTCTCCAACTCCTATGACACTACCACTTCCACCAATGTTGTCTTCTTTGCCTGCTGATCCACCTTTTTGCTCCCTACACCTCTCAATTGACAAAATTTTCTACTGAAACACTCTTTATGAAATCCCTCTCAGTAAATCTCTCCCAATCTTCAATGGAGGCTTCAAATACCCAAAGAAGAAGTGTTGCAAGGGGGAAAGGGGGAAGGGGTAAAATGGGTTCTATAAATATTGGCCTCTTGAAACCATAGGAAAAAAAATGCCTTAAATAGGGAAAAAAGGGTTTTTGATAAGGAATCTTCTCTAACCTAATGGCAGTACCACAATAAAATGGGAAGAACAAGAAAACGAATTCTCAAGGTACAAACGGAGCAAGAGGTTAAAGAAGCTAACACCGTACAGGACAAGAAACCTTCTTTAGATGAAGAAACTACCATCGTCCGGGACAAGAAACCTTTTTCAAATTGAGAGGTCACTCATGCCTTCAAATTCCTTGACACAAGAAGGGCTTAGGGCATAGGGCAAATGATGAATCCAGATTCAACTAGACCAGACCCAATAAATAATACGGACTTAGATTAGCTAAAAGGATCCTTCAAGCCCAACTCGTGGGTTCAACCTAATTCATTGATCCAACCTGGTCTAAAATTGATGGAGTCCAAGAAGATTGAAGCACTTGGGGAGCAATCATCAGGATACCTACTATTGAAGATCAAGACAATCTTTAATTGTACTTACCTTTTTGTAGCTATCCTCCTCAAAGGACTAGTGCCTTTACCCTCACGTTACCGTCTCAGCTAAGGCTCTGTGCCTATAAATTATAAGCCCTTTCCACATGAGAAGAACATCTCTGTACACACCCCTCACATAGCTATTTCTCTCTCCTAGCTACCATACCTCTCCCAGAACTCACATTTGCTCTCTCTACTTTATTAATAAAGGTTCTTCAGCCACCATTGTCGCTTTCGCAGTAGAGTAGGTCCCCTTGATAGAACCACTATATGTTTTTGTGTGTTGACCCATTACTTGTCTTTTACTATTAATTGCTTATTGATTGCCTCATTACTTTCTCTAAATCACATACTTAATTGTTGACTGTGTATAAGTTTGTTTTGTGCATCATCACCATCATCCCACCACCACTGTCGCCCATCACCATCACCTGTCGCCATCCACTACCATGACACATCACCATTTGTTGTCGCTCACCTTTGCCGCCACCCATTGTCATCTACCTCCACTACACCTACCACCACCATTACCATTCGCCACCACCCACCACCATTGTCTTTCTCAAGCATCTGTCGTCGCTCACTACCACCCCTGTCAACTATCATCATCGTCGCCCACCATCACCCACATCCATCATCACTACTGTCGTCACTCATGACTGTCACTACTACCATCGTCACCCAACACCCACCACCACCATCATCATCGTCGTTGTCACCCACGGCTGCCACCACCACTATGGTCATCGCCGCCAACCAAAACCATCACCATTTCTCACCATCACCACTATCATCGTTTCTCACCATTACCACTATCAGCATTTCTCACCATCATAACTATTAATGTTTACCTCCATTACAATCAGTATTTTAATTCGTTTCTTTCTTTTATATTTGTAATTTGATTTTGAATGTGAATATAAATACATTTATGATTGACATTTTTCCTATTACTTTGTGCATTTAGATACGAGCAATAACTATTTATTAATTTATTTCAATGCATTTTCTCTGTTATATTTTATCTATAGGAATACGTGTTCGTAAAAATTGTGTTTCATTCATTCGAACATAACTTTGTCTTGTTTATGAGCACTTTGCTGGACAAAATGTGCAAGAAAAATTGCAGAAAATCCTTACAAAAATTAGTTGAATGACGAGATAATTTGTTTTTTTTTTTCCTCTTTTGTGAAAGTGATAATATAATGTCAGAGTTTATTTTTATATTCGATTAACCATTCCCTCATCCTCATTATCACTTAAAGAAATTGGGCACCATTTGAAGGCAAGGAAATTCAATAATATTCGAAAAAAAAAATAGTACTGTAATGTCGGTTACTATTTTTTATGGGTAAAATTACAACTTTGAAAAGAAAAATTATAATTTCTTAAGAAAATATTATGATAGATAACAGATACCTATAATTGATCATGAAAATTTTGATATTGATCACAATTTTTTATAATCGATCATATATTTTAAAATTATAATTTATATATTAAAAAAAATTATAACTAAACTTTAAAAAATTATATTTTTTAATATGATACCGCCGACAACACCTGACCATTCTTCTGTCGTTGTCTCTATCAGTGTCTATCTGATCACACTAATTATTCAAAAAGAGAGAGATGAAAAGTTGGCAACAATACCAGAAGAAATGATTTGGACAGTGTGATCTGTCATTTCAGTGGTTGTAAAAGCTACAAAAAGCCATTTCTGGAAGCTGAGAGAGAGAGAGAGAGAGAGAAAAAGCTGTTGAAGCCATCTGTATCTATTTTTAAATCCATTTCTGGAAGCTGAGAGAGAGAGAGAAAGCTGTTGAAGCCATTTGTATCTATTTTTAATGGCAATATTATATCTATAAAAAATAAAGGTTGAATTGATTGAAAAAAGTTTATAATACATCAAATGTATTTATAATCAATCATGAAATTTTGTTGAACAAAAATAATTTCTTTTATATGAATTATAATTTCAATAACCGATAATAACGTTTTAAAATCGACCATATCTTTACAAATTAAAACTTACATTTTAAAATTTTATAATTTTTAATATGATAGACGGTATCATAGATTCTCCGTACACAGACAACAAGAAAGTATTTCGATAACAAATCTCAAATCATATTGAAGGACAAACACGGTTAACAATATCATTAAAATAAGAATACATACGGACATTAGAAAGTAACCATTTGAGTATGACATTTTCTATTAAAAAAACTCCACTAAAATAATCATTTGATTATTGGAAGAATCAACAAAAGAATCAATTACTGAAGACATTTCATTGTTATTTGTGTCATGAAGTTTTCCATCTACCACCACTTTCGTCATCACAATTATTTCAACACTTTGTGTTTTTTTGTTTCCTGTCCATTCTGTCTCCTTCAATCTCCATCATGTTCTTCATGACTGCATCTGTAGCACTGGCCAAGAAGTCAGGCCAATCCCTGCATTTCCAATATGGATCAACCAAACCCAGATCAGATATGACCCAAAAATAAAAGACATAACTGTAATAAAGTCGGTTCATTGCATTAGACTCCGACCACTGCAGGAGTCTAAAAAGTTAAATTTATGCAATCTTATATGAAATAGTTTTCACTACCCTCAATACTTCAAGTCAGGGTCACAATGAGCAAGCTTATTGCTGCTCGAGGTGTGCCATCAAACACATAACTATATATTCCAGAAAAATCTAAAAGGGAAAGCTGAACTTACCCTGTTAAGGTATCAAATGTTAGGCCAACAGTGTACTTGGCCTCCTCAAGAGCTCTGCTAAACCTTTGCAGATCATTAGGAAGACAACCTCCATTGTCTTTAACACGAAGCTCAGAAGGTTTCACATCACAAAAAATTGGGATAACCTTCTTCTTTGTCTCCATGATAAGAGACAATTCATGCAAACAAAAATATGAATCACAATAAGTTGGAGAAAACACAGCAATCCCCATTTTAGAATGGCGAATGGCAGTGTCGATTTTATCAAACAGTTTGTCCCCCGGCTTCAAGTTCTTGCTGTCCAAGAATGGCCGGAACTTTAGCCTACTGAGATGATCATACAACAATCCGGCGACATTTCTCTTCGTATCGATTCCTCGATGATTGATGAACACATCGCAGGGTTGGGGTTTGATCCTTTGGATTTGGTTCTTGTGACGGAGAATTTGGTGAAACACGGCCTTGGAAGAAAAGGATGAACGTTGCATGGCCCCTAGAAGAAGCTAAGAATAATGTGTTTTGATTGGTTTTTAATGCAATGCTTGTGTTTGTGTGTGTGTTTATTTTCTTTTTTTTCGTTTGTGCAGTTAAGGTAGTTGTGGGGTATTTATAGATTGGGACAGTTTGATTAATGACCAGATTGAATTTGACTTTCAAGGAAAGAATTCTAAGTTTCTACTAATCAGATTGGACCCAATGAAAATACCAAGTATTTGTTTTAACAGTACAGACGAAAAAGAGTAAGAGGGTTTGAATATCTTGACTCTCTAGGCGTTATTTGGTACTGTTTGATCCTTCCAACACGCTTATTACAATTGAGGATAGATCTGTTCTTACCCCCTCCCCACCCCCACACCCCCTTCTCCTGAATGTAATTTTTATATATTCCATTTGCCATAAACAAACTTTACCCAACTAATAAAACTTTGCTTACCTCCTCCTCCAAAAAAATGGTTAAGAATATTCGGACCAGTTTATGTGCTTTTCGATTAATTATTTCTTTAGTTCGATCAAAGACAGATCACTTACATGGAGACTAGAGTATACATAAATGATAAATTTTTCGTAACTTGATCCAAAAAAATTGTCAAAATTCAAAAATTGTTACCTTAGATTCATGGACTTCGACTCGAAAGTAACGTTAGACACATTAGCTTGACACACTCTTCCTATTCAAACCAGTGTTTGAAACTAAACTTCTTATCAGAAAAATAAATATGGTGATTCAAATGAGATTCAATGTATATCTAACTTTCGATTCAATTGTACAATTCAAACAGTCTAGGGAGACACAAGACTCCTCTCTTTTACCTTGAATGTAATAAAACAATCTCCCCATTAATAAAGTAAGATTGCCAATAAGACTTTTTCTAAAGTTTTGGTAGTGACAGAAGTAAGTTGAATAATGGACTAGTTTTTTTAGAATTATATATCAATATTTGAATTGGGTTTTGCATTTGACTGTTTCAAAAGCTCTTGCAGTACTTTTGTGGGTTAGTCCTTTGGCTAAACTTTTCATATGCACAACAAAAATACGTCTCAATTAAATCAGTTCTGCATCAATCTAAATCTGTAATTGCAGATCTTCTTCACATGTTGGCATGTTTGTCCCAGTTGGATGAATAGAGTGGATAATGCCTTTAAGTGCACAGTTATAGCCACTTTCATTAATTTTTATAGCCATGATATAGAATACTGGCAGTATCTCGTGTAAAGTACGTTTTTTTTAATATGTGAATTAAATTTTTGTGATTAAAAATTAAAATTTAAGTGAGTTATTGTGATTAAAAGTTAAAATTTTAATAAATTATTGTGGTTAAAAAATTAAAATTTTAATAAGTTACTATGTGGTTTATTTTACCTAACTAAGCAGTCTATTAGGCATGATAATGAATTGAGTTTTGATCCCAATTTAAACACATGAATTGATGTTTTTCATTGACAATCTGAATCCAACATTGTTATGTGACATTTGTGAATTCATATTAGAATATACTAACATCCGATGAAATGTTAATATGATATGAATTATTATTATACACATGTAGATATATGATGAAAAATAGAGATTATTTGATGAATTGAGGGCGGAATTTAGATATAATCAACACAAATTTGACGTCATATAGTTATTTACACCAAATCAGATTTTCAATTTGAAGCAAACTCAGTTGAGTCAAGACCGATTGAGGGCTTTGGAGAGGAAGAATCTACATCAATCATGATGCAAGCAACAAGATAACGAAGTTCTCGACCAAGGCAAAAAAACAGATCTCATCACATCACTTGTTTTCCCAATGCTTTCCCAAAACTATTTATACTTAGAAGTAGGGTGTGCAAAATTGCTGGTAGGCTTACCTTTTGTCAATTAAGTGGCTTAATGCTTGGAGATCATCAAAACAATATCTACCTAATTGGTCAAATGGCCTTTGATATTCTCAGCTTGATTGTATTCTGCTTGCTAAGATCATCTTGTTCAAAGCCCATGAAAAAACCATATTTTATGGGAATGATGAGTCACAAATCAAAAAGGTTGTGTATAGCTACAAGAGCCCCTCCCCCCTACCCCTAAAGAGGGGTTAAGTGATATGTCTATTATTTTTTTTTAATGGTCAGGAGTGTTCAAAGTAATTTGCATTCATCTCGACTAAGTGATATGTTTATGAATGTTAACTCTATGCATTTCAGTTTTTTTTTTGGGTCTAAAACTATATGTATCTCAGGAGAGAAAGAAACATTTGGAACACAATGGGCTCAAGGTTGATTAGATTATGATACCGAAATATTATTTTTTTAGTTTTATACTTCTTTTTTTTTATTCAATAAAAAGGTGACAGATGTGAATTTTTTTTTATTTCATTACTTTATTTCACTTTATCACTTTTACGATTAATAGCAGCAAACAAATCAAGACAAGTTTTACTAATACGACTAAAAAATTACTTTTTAATACTCTAACTAGTGTTATCCTCAAAAGACAAACAATACTGAGCAAAGAAAGATAGTCTAGTGCAGGTACCCCCGTTGGAATCTATAGAAAGTTAAATACACATAGTCTTATTATATATACGGAATACGGAATTGAAGTTACCGTGATACCAATGGGATAAGATAAAAAAACAAATAATAATGTTACACTCATCATCTTTTTGTACCATTTTTATACACCATCTCAATATGAATCATTAGATTAATGGTCCCATTAAATTCATTGAATATTTAAATGTTAAAATTATGTCACATCAGATACTATAAACAAGACGGTGCACGTATAATTATTGAAAAAAAAAGGCAGGAAGTTTCAAAAAAGCATTGTAGCTTTGTAATTTACCCCAATGATATTTACTTATTTCACTTTCCCCCGCTCAACTTTTAAACATGATAATAGAAAAGCTTTTGTAACTTCAAAACCTACAAACCCAGACATCTGATTTTCTGGTAAGATAGAAATCTATACAATTCAAGAATCAACAGCAAAGAAGAAGTCAGATCATATGATTTTGAGACAATTCTCAGAGAGAATTTTTCAAAAAAAATGCAGTGCAGATACAAAGAGGCTTCCTATTTTTCCATCAACGAAACGAAGAATTCAGAGGGAAAGAAAAGTTAGTGTGAAACACATACTCTTTAATGACCAACGTGGTCTTTGACTTGGTTAAAGATTCAAATAGTGATAACCTAAAAACTTAGAGCAGCCCACTGTACGAGATTTTTATTATTGCGGGAAGATATACGCGAGAAAATATTGGGTATCACGGTTATATCGTGTTATCACGTTAACATAGTATAACTGTCCACTAATAAGACAAAAAATGGACTTATGGACAAGTGAATCTCAAACAATTAAATAACTACTCATTCATATCATATAATAACTATTCATATACAGAAATGAAGTACACTTTGTTCATTTATTTTTTGGGTTAATCATAAATTATACCCTGAAAGATCTATTAAATCTCATTTTGCACTCTCAAAAATATAAATTTGTATCAATGTGCACTTAAATTTATTAACCATCAGTTTGTTGTCAAAAACTAAACTGGTAAATTACAGCTAGACCCTCTCAAGTTTGTCACTTAATCACTGGACACCCTTAAATTTAGAATATTATACCTACACTCCACATAATTCCCTGTTGTCAATATCCGTTAATGCAACCGTTAAAAAATATGATGTCATCCTAATAAATAACTATAATTTTTATACTACCTTTTATTTGGTAGGCCTGTTGTACTCTAAAGTTAAAAATCAAGCTTTCCTTTTGAATGTCAAATACAATACAACTGTTATATAATGTTCAAGAGTACTAGTATTATATAATATTCTTTATATCAAATGCAATACATCACTTAAACATAATTATTTGGATGTTCAATTAAGGGAACACTTTTAGTTATATTTGGATTCTCTGAAGATGTAGGTGTAATATTTCAAATGTGAGAAGGTCCAAGTGATTAAGTGACAAACATGAGAAAGTTTAAGTGTAATTTACTTATTTTTAGACGGTAAACTAAATGACTGTAAGCTATATGTGCACATTGATACAAATTTATATCTTTGAGATTCGAAAGATCTTTCGGAATGTAATTTGCAGTTAAACCTTTATTTTTATTTTTTTATTATTATTGGATGGTTACGCTATCTAAACGTGATGACATAGTATAACTGTAACACCTAATATTTATTTGATGTATGCACTTATTTGGACTTAAAATATAAAACTACAAAAACATTTGATGCATTGTTGGCAAATCTAGAATCGTTAAAGGGTTGCCACATGTCAATATTTGAAGAAAAGGTCGGAAAATGATCAATCACAACTTTGGTTTAAAAGAAGGAATAACCACGTGAGAATTACAAAACCAATCAATCGCCGATAAAAGAAAACTGTCGAAGGAAGTGACTATAAAAAGAGGAAAAAAAGGAAGTTGAAGGATAATTCAAACTCCACAGAAGATCCATCAGTCACTCGTAACTGTAATTCATTCGATTGAATTACTAAAGGAATTTGTTTTTATTGATTTATTATTCCGTGTGTTCATAGCTTTACGAATTCTTCCGAAAATAATCACCGGAGAACTATTTATCGATTAGAACATTTCTATTAATCGCAAAAAAAATATTTTTGTTAATCACGACAACAGATTTTGGAGCAATAAGACCCTTATTCTCGTATGCAATGGGTGACTTCGCAACTTGCAGTCTTGATACCCAAGTCACAACCAAACAACATTGGTCTGAACACCTGTATTGGCATGTGTGTGGACTAGATAGAGTGAGAACCCACATTTGTCGTGTGTTTGGGGACAAAATTTTGAATCTTGGATGTTTGATTATTTTACATCATATTTGAAAAGAAAGAAATTTAAAAGTCAGAAGGCAACTCAAACACCCTTATCTCCCCCTGGTTGTGAGGAAAGTGTTAAGTTGTTACCGGCTAATTAGAAGTTTGACGGACTCAACACGTACGAGCTGTAGGGATGGC